AAAATCGTCAAAATGAAACACTTTAATTTTCGGGATATTCAAAAATTCCGAGTTTGAAACCAGAAGTACAGAGATACGTTATATTATAAAATTCGAATACATATTGTGATAATTTTAATCTCCAGAAGTTTTTACGAATATATTTTTTTGACAATTTCGACCATATTTTCAAAATCTCCAAAATGAAACATTTCAGTTTTCAGAATATTTAATAATTCGGAGTTTGAAGCCGACTATTTCGAAAATCTTGTTTCAAAATCACCAACCCATTATGTTTTTGTATTCAGCTCTACGAAATCTGTTTTCACGAATTTTTTGTGAATCTTTAGGCAACTTTACCAAAAGTTCTATTTCTCAGGACTATGATTTTTTTATCTTTCCCCGAGCACATTCGTAGGTTATGAAAACAGAATATTGTGTTGATTTCGATCTCTAAAATTTTTTCGGATTCAGTTTTTTGACAATTTCTATAATTTATTCAAAATCGTCAAATTGAAACACTTTAATTTTCGGGATATTCAAAAATTTCGAGTTTGAAACCAGAAGTACAGAGATACGTTCTATTATAAAATACAAATACATATTGTTATGATATTGATCTCTTTTTCCGGATTTATTTTTTGACAATTTCGACAATATTTTCAAAATCGTCAGTTTTCAGAATATTTAATAATTCGGAGTTTGAAACCGAATATTTCGAAAATCTTGTTTCGAAATCAGCAGCAAGGTATTTTTTTGCATTCAGCTGTACGAAATCTGTTTTCCTGAATTTTTGTGAATTTTTAGACAACTTTAACAAAAAATTTATTTTTTAGGACTATAATTTTTTTATATCCGAGCACATTCGAAGGTTATGAAAAGAGAATTTTGTGTTGATGTCGATCTCTAAAATTTTTTTCGGCTTCATTTTTTTGTCAATTTCTATTTTTTCAAAATTGCCAAAATGAGAGATTTCAATTTTCGGGATATTCAAAAATTCCGAGTCTCAAACCAGCAGTACAGGAGTATGTTATATCATAAAATATGAATATTGTGTTGATTTTGATTTCCAGAAGTTTTTCCGGATTTTTTTTTTTTGACAATTTCGAGCACATTTTCAAAATCGCCAAAATGAAATATTTGAGTTTTCCGAATATTTAATAGCTGAATATTTCGAAAATCCTGTTTCGAAAACACCAACAAGTTATGTTTTTGCATTCAGCCCTATGAAATTTGTTTTCCTGAATTTCTAGCTCTATTTTTCAGGACTAAGAAAAAAATTCGTAGTTTTCTTTTCCCGAGCACATTCGAAGAGAATTTTGTGTTAATTTAGATCTCTAAAATTTTTTTCGGTTTCACTTTTTTGCGATTTCTATTATTTTTTCAAAATCGTCAAAATGAAACATTTCAATTTTTGGGGATATTCGAAAATTCCGAGTCTGAAACCAGAAATACAGGTGTATGTTATATTATAAAATATGGACACTGTGATGATTTTGATCTCAAGGTAAATTTGTTCGTATTTATTTTTTTGACAATTTTGATCATATTTTCAAAATCACCAAAATAGAACATTTCAGTGTTCAGAATATTTAATAATTCCGCCAAATGTTCCGAAATTAGCAACACGTAATGTTTTCATATTCAGTTCAATGAAATTTGTTTTCCTAAATTTTTTGTGAATTTTTAGACAACTTCGCCAAAAGCTGTATTTTTCAGGACTAAATTTTTTTATCTTTCCCCGAGCACATTTGAAGGTTATGAAAAGAAAATTTTATGTTGATTTCGATCTCTAAAATTTTTTTCGGTTTCATTTTTTAGGCAATTTCTATTATTTTTTCAAAATCGTCAAAATGAAACGTTTCAATTTTTGGGGATATTCAAAAATTCCGAGTCTGAAATCAGAAGCAAATGTGTATGTTATATCATAAAAGATGAACATTGTTGTGATGATTATCTCAAGAAATTCTTTCGTATTTATTTTTTTGACAATTTTGACCATATTTTCAAAATAACCAAAATGAAACATTTCAGTTTTCAGAATATTTAATAATTCCGCCAAATGTTTCGAAATCAGCAATGCTTTATGTTTTTATATTCATCTCTACGAAATCTGTTTTCCTGAATTTTTTGTGAATTTTTAGACAACTTCGCCAAAAGCGGCATTTCTCAGGACTAAATTCTTTTATCTTTCCCCGAGCACATTTAAAGGTTATGAAAAGAAAATTTTATGTTGATTTCGATCTCTAAAATTTGTTTCGGCTTCATTTTTTAAGCAATTTCTATTATATTTTCAAAATCGTCAAAATGAAACGTTTCAATTTTTGGGGATATTCAAAAATTCCGAGTCTGAAACCAGAAGTAAATGTGTATGTTATATTATAAAAGATGAACATTGTTGTGATGTGATCTCAAGAAATACTTTCGTATTTATTTTTTTGACAATGTTGACCATATTTTCAAAATAACCAAAATGAAACATTTCAGTTTTCAGAATATTTAATAATTCCGCCAAATGTTTCGAAATCAGCAACACGTTATGTTTTTATATTCAGCTCTACGAAACCTATTTTCCTGAATTTTTTGTGAATTTTTAGACAACTTCGCCAAAAGCTGTATTTTTCAGGACTAAATTTGTTTATCTTTCCCCGAGAACATTTCAAGGTTATAAAAAGAAAATTTTATGTTGATTTCGATCTCTAAAATTTTTTTCGGCTTTATTTTTAGGGAATTTCTATTATTTTTTTAAAAATTGCCAAAATGAAACATTTTAATTTTCTTAATTTTCAAAAATTCCGAGTTTGAAACCAGAAGTACAGGGATATGTTATATTATAAAGTATGAATATTGTGATCATTTTGATCTTCAGAAGTTTTTTAGGGTTTATTTTTTGACAATTTCGGCAATATTTAAAATCGTCAAAATGGAACATTTCAATTTTCAAAACATTTAATAATTGACTGTGATTGTAGACTGATACCATCCGAAACGTCTGAAAAAGAAGAAAAGAGGCAGATATCCAACAAAAATCGAGATTTTGACAAGGAAGAAAAAAGTGGAAAAATAAAAAAATTCGGGTGAGGACGAAGTAATTCCAGGCACGAGAGGGTTTACGACAAAATTTGCATTTGACTATCGTCTACCAGAAGTCGTTGTTGCAGTCATAACTGTCGAAATTATAAACTAAAGTTGTAAAAATTTATTTCTCTACATTACATTGTCAAAGTAACTACTTAAACTGATTAAATAAAACAATCAATACATTTCTTCAAACAAATACCCATGGTGAAACTTTTAAGACATCCAGACGCTTCCAATTATTTATAATTCTCGATCCAGCAGGACTAAAAAACACAACAGACGCGAATAAACCCGAAAATCACTGAAATTTGGCCTGTAATTGTGTTATAACGACCATAAAAGAATTCGAACTACCCTTTTTAATGAAAACGAGTAGGTGCTTAAACGACGCTGAGCTCAACCTTCGCTGTTTTTTTTCTGCAACACTAAAACGTGTCTTATTGATTAGATGAGAGTTTATTACCTAAAAAAAGGAGAAGGTTTAAAATGAGAACCGGAAGTAGTATAATTGGTAACTTTTATAGTCAACGCCTTTAACACCTGTCACATAAAAGACCCAAATAATCTGGAAATCACCGGACTGACACAACACTGTAACAAAAAAGTTTTACTGCAGCGCTATTTTATATCAACGTTGAGAAAAATCTACGCAAATCATTAAAATTCGCAAAGACTTTATTAAAGGTCTAGAACGATGAAAATCTTAAGTCATAATTAATTATCGATCTTGGGCTGACATTTTTTTGCGAAGTTTATAACGACTTAAGCGATTAAAAACGTTAGGTCATGCACAAAAGAATGTTGTTTTTGCTTTGTAGATTAGTTTGTGCCCAAGCCATTACGCTATTAGCATTTTAATTAACCCGAAAAGTTCAAAATAATATCATAACCGGATACAATATAATTAATTAATTAATCACAAAGATCGCACAAAAAAATAATCGATTATAGATATCGATTCAGCGAAACCACTTATTGTTCAATCAAAAACGTATCGCCACTGGTTATGAAAAAATCAAACATCAAGAAAATCGAACATTTTGTATTATTCTATATAATCACAGTAATTTTCTTTGTATATAATTTACCTACTTTTCCATGTTTGAACTAAATCAACATATAAGTACCGACCAAAACCATTATTTTTAAGTAATTCGAAAATGAAGCGCGTTTCATTAAGGACACGAATTTTCCGCAACTGACACACATATTCGAGGGACAAAAAACAAGTTTCAATTTTTAATTACACCGTCACGAACAAAAAACTGGCCACTCATTCAACTTTCTTATGATGAATAAAATATCGCCCAACATACACCAATCAAATCCATATTATTTTTCCACAAACTAACCCCGCTTGAAGGGTGTACTTTACCGACATAAAAATAAAATGTCAATTACACCAGCGCTGGTCCCGCACCCACCTTTGGGTCCGTACAGACCCCGAGTCGCCTTCGCCGTTAACTACACATCCATAAAATATTCACAAAGCAAATACTGATTTATTATTGAGTAATTGTTAATGATTGGTGGACGCTTTGATGACCTACACGTAAAGAAAATTGACGATAATTGGGTTTGCACAGCTACATGGATTATTTATGTAATCATTGTTCATAACGAGGGGAAAAAAGCAAAGAAACCAGATGCGAACGGCGCTTTTTAATCCCCCTTTTGAAAAAACCACTGCGGCATCTGTGTGTCATTATATTAAATCGAACAATTCTCAGTTTAAGCTCGCGAGGGCTAAATGAAGCACGTCCGTTCCAACTCAGGTGAAACCCCAATCAAGCGTACATAACCTGCTTATTCCTAAACCTTTCCGTTTTGTTTGTACACTACACAGCCCCCAAACAACCATTCTACGCTCCGACTGCTAAAAAATCACAAGTCAACCTCAAAAACAACCAACTTCATTGTACTTTAAGGCATGCACTCACCTGACTTTTGTCAAACTGGCTCAGAAAGTGGTCCGTTTGCTGCTTTTCGTACAGAGCCCTGGCGAGGCTCCCCCGAGGTCTGAATGACAGAGTGGGCTGCTGACTTTGACTGGTGTGGAAAATAGGGTCATTTTCCTTTGTTGTTGCGTAGCAAAAGCCATTTTCAACCATCGCTGGACGTTTAAATCAACGACGGCTGAGTTTGTACCGACAGAAGTGAGGTTAGGTCGCGCGGGTCACAATAACACGCACTGAAAGGGTATGGTTGGGTGATGAGGTGTTAGGTTGGGTTAATTTTTAGTGAATGTGTGCGAGGTTCAGGAATTTGGTTGAGATGGGACGTTTTTAGAGAGTGTTTGCTTTCACTTTTGACAGTTATAAACAATAATAACAGGTTGGGTTGGCTGAACTGCGGGCGAGATGTCAACTGGTGATGGTGCGGGAAATTTGAATTGGTTTGGGTTTAAGGAGGACGAGATCGGACTAAGTTGGAAGGTTTTTTTAGTGGCTAACACCTCAACAAGAGGCTAAATTGACATCAGAATTGTTACTCATAATATTTCTACTTAGAAATAACTAGTCCAAATCTATTTACTATAAATTAGACCTCGTTTAGAACAAAGCAAGTGAAGAGAATTTTTATACATTGTAAAAACGTGGATAATAATTGTATTAACTGGGATACTGGGAACAATTATTATTTGTGGATTTTTAGGCAGCTTTTCCAATTTTGAATTTTGCCCCAGGATCATAAATAGGCAATATTTTTAAAATCAGTAGGTGCTTACGTCGAGATCTAAGTACAGAGTCATCAAAATTGATTGAGAGAGTTGGTAAACCTGAACTTGAATAATTTAGTTTATTAAGTTGTATAAAAATATTAGCTGTCAGATTTGAAGTTTCGAGTTTCAAATTTCAAAACTCAGTGGCGTCTTTTTTCGATTTTTTTTTTTGATAAAAAATATTAGTTGTCAGATTTGAAGTTTCAAATTTTAGATTCATTCGTTTCTGGAATTTGTTCGCAAAGTTACGAGTAGCAATAAGGTATAGGGTGCGCATCGACCAAGGCGATTCGTACAAAACGTTAAAACCGTTCGCAACGTTGCAAGAAGGTAACTTTCGTATTCACAACTGATTCAGGTGAGTTCCGACAATCAACCCCCAGTTCTCTTGTCACGCCACTGAATTCATTACCATATAACCTTAAACAAATCTGTCATAAGGTTGACAAACTTCACGGCAAAACAGAGAGTACCAACTCTTTCAATCAATTTTGATGACTCTGTATTTCCAAAAATTTTCTGTGTATTTTCAAAAACTCTAGTTTTCAGTAACTCCTTCATGAAAAATTTCTACCTTTCTTGGAGTACCTTCAAAAACTACATAAAAAGATTTTTTTTCTAGATTTCAACTTCCAGAAGATACTTTCGGTCTCATTTTTTCAAGAACTAGGATTTAATAAAAATGAATCTCAAGCCGAATATTTCGAAAATCGTTATCCAAGACCACAAACACGCTGTATTTTTCGTCAGCACGTCGAGACTATATCTCAGAAGTTTTTATGGATTTTTCTACAACTTTTTCAAAATTTTAACTTTCCAATATGAAAATTTCGGCCCATTTTTTTGATAATTTTCGAAAATTACTTAAACAAATTTTCTTGTAGATTTAAACTTATAGAAGTTACTTTCGGCTTCGTTTTTTCGATAACTTTTACTATTTTTCGAAAATCCCCATTGAAATATGTCGATTTTTAGAACTAAAAAAATAATACATTCAGGCTGAATATTTCGGAAATCGTGACCTGAAAACCACAATAACGCTATATTTTTCGAATCAGCACGTGGAGATCTATATCCCAGAATGTTTTGCAGATTTTTAGTCAACTTTTGCAAAATTTCAGTTTACCAATATAGACTTTATGAAAATGTAGATTTATTTTTGACCATTTTCGAAAATTAACTAAACACATTTTCTTGTAGAATTAGATCTCTACAAGTTACTTTCGGATTCGTTTCTTGTATAACTCCCATCATTTTTTTCGGAATCTCCCATTGAAAAATGACAATTTTAGGATTAAAAAAAATTCAATTTCAAGACGTATATTTTGAAAATCGTGATTCGAGCACAAACGCCCTGTATTTTTTTAATCACCACGTGGAAATTTATATCCCAGAATTTTTGTAGATTTATAGCCAACTTTTTCAAAATCTCAATTTTCCCTTTATGAAAATTTTTCGACTATTTTCTAAAATCATTTAAACACAATTTCTTGTGGATTTCAACTTCTAGAAGTTATTTCCGGTTTCCTTTCTTCGATAGCTCCTACATTTTTCCAAAATCACCCATTGAGTTATAACAATTTTTAGGATTTTCTAAAAAAAAAAATAGAATTTCAAGCTAAATATTTAAAAATTGTGATTCGAGAACATGAAGATTTTTCGAACCAGCATCTCGAGATCTAGATGCCAAAATATTTTGCGGGTTTTTAGCCAACTTTTTCGAAATCTCAATTTTTCCAGAATCAACCGTTGAAGTTTTTTAAATTTTCAAAAATTCGCATTTCGTACCGATTCTTTCGAAAATGTTGTTCCTTGACCATCAACACGCTATATTTTTGGAATTAGCATAACGAGATCTACGTCCCTGAATTTTTTCGTCATTTTTAGACAACTTTTTTAAAAGTGAAAATTTTTCAATGGTCCCCCCTTCTTCAAATTTCGGAAAATTTTTGACATTTTCGAAACTGAACTAAATACATTTTCTTGTAAATTACGAGCTCTAGAACTCAATTCCGGCCTCGGTTCTTTGTTAACTGCAACCGTTTTTCCAGAATCGACCGTTGAAATATCGAAATTTTTCAGATTTTCAAAAATTCGCATTTCGTACCGATTCTTTCGAAAATGTTGGTTGGCGATCAACACGCTATATTTTTGGAATCAGCGTGTCGAGATCTAGGTGCCTGATTTTTTTCCTAATTTATAGACAACTTTTTTAAAAGTGAAAATTTTTCAATGGTCAAATTTTGGAAAATTTTTGACATTTTCGAAACTTAACCAAATACATTTTCTTGTACATTTCGAGTTCTAGAAATTGTTTCCCGGTTTGTTTCTTCGCTATATCCTACCTTTTTCGGAATCGCCAATGCAAATCATCTTTTTCAATCGTTGGGAATTTTTAAAAAATGTAATTTGAAGCGAAATATTTCGAAAATGTAATCCGAAACCATGAGCAAACTATATTCTTCAAATCATTTGAGAAATTTTTTGCGAATTTTTTGACAACTTTTTCAAATTCCCAACTTTCCAACTTTTTTTTTTAATTCGGCTATTTTTTGATGATTTTGGAAATTACCTGAACACTTTTTTTTTGTAGATTTCGACTTCTAGAAGTTCCTTCCTTTCGGCTTCGTTTCTTGGATAACATTTTCCCAGAATCGCCCATTGAAATATGGAAATTTTTCGGATTTAAAAAAAATTGAATTTCAGACCGAATATATTTTTCGAATCAGCAAGTCGGAATCTATATTCCTATAATTTTTGCTGATTTTTAGACAACTATTACAAAATTGCAAATTTCCTATACAGACCTTATGAAAATGTCCCTCATTTTTGATCATTTTAGAAAATCACGTAAACAAATATTTAAAAATCGTGATCCGAGAGCATAAACACGTTATATTTTTTGAAACATCTCTAGATCGAAATACCAGAATTTTTGCATCTTTTACTCAACTTTTTCAAAATCCCAATTTTCCTATACCTTTTGAAAACTTCGACCCATTTTTCACCATCTGCCAAAATTACCTAAACACATTTTCTTGTAGAATTCGACTTACGAGTTACTTCGGGTTCGTTTCTTCGATAAATCTTACCATTTTTTGGAATCGCCAATTCAAATACGGCAATTTTTAAGAATTTGTAAAAAAATTTAATTTCAAGCCAAATGTTTCGAAAATGGTGAACTACGAGCAGACTATATTTTTCGAATAAGCACATTGAGATTTGCATTCCAGGATTGTTTGTGGATTTTGAGCCAACTTTTTCAAAATCTCAATTTTCCTATAACTTTTGAAAATTTCGACCCGTTGTTCACCGTCTTCCAAAATTACCTAAACACATTTTGTTGTAGATTTCGACCTCTACAAGTTACTTTCGGGTTCGTTTCTCGGATAACTCCTACCATTTTTCGGAATCGCCAATTCAAATACGGCAATTTTTAGAAATTTCTAAAAAAGTTTAGTTTCAAGCCAAATATTTCGAAAATGGCGATCCGAGACCACGAGCACACTATATTTTTCGAATCAGCACATCGAAATCTGTATCTCAAAATTTTTTGCGAATTTTTTGACAAGTTTTTCAAATTCTCAAATTTCCCACCTTCCTTTTTGAAAATTTCGGCGCTTTTTTTGATGATCTTCGGAAATTACCTGAACACTTTTTCTTAAACATTTCGACTTCTAGAAGGTCTTTTCCGCTTCGTTTCTTGGATAACTTCTACCATTTTTCAAAAATCACACATTGAAATATGGCGACTTTTACAATTAAAAAAACATAATTTCAGGCCGAATACTTCGAAAATATTGATCAGAAAACCACAGCACGCTCAGTAAGTTTTGTGGATTTTTAAACTTTTGCAAAAATTTCAAATTTCCTTACGAAATTTTTGACCATTTTAGAAAATCACGTAAACACATTTTCTCGTAGATTTCGACCTCTAGAAATTCCTTTGAGGTTCGTTTCTTAGATAAGTCCCATCATTTTTTCGGAATTGCTCACTGAAAAGTGGCAATTTTAGAGTTAAAAAAAGAATTTCAAAACGTATATTTCGAAAATCTTGATCCCAGTACAAACACGCTATATGTTTGGAATCACCAGGTTAAGATTTATATCCCACAATTTTTTGTGAATTTTTAGACAACTTTTTCGAAAGCACTATTTTTCATGAAAATTTTTCTTTTAGATTTCAATTCCCAGAAGTTACTTTTGCCGTCATTTCTTCAAAAACTCCTACCATTTTTCCTGAATTAACCAATGGCGATTTTTAAGATTTCAAATATGTATTTCCAAAATCTTGTTTCGGAATTACAAGCAGCCTATATTTTTCAAGGCAGTAGAATCTGTATCCTAGAATTTTTTGTGGAATTTTAGGTAATTTTTCCAAAAGCTGTTTTTCAATATAGAATTTATAGTGGTATAATTCTAACATCTTACTCAGGGATCACAGACACGCAATATTTTAAAATCAATAGGTACGCCGAAATCCATTTCCAAAAATTTTCGGTAGTGAATTTTCTTCGTCAACTTTCAAAAATTACCTAGAGATTTTTTTCTAGATTTTAACTTCCAAAAAATACTTTTAGCCTCGTTTCTTGAAGAACTCTCCTTTTCTTCCAGAAT